ATATGTTGTCTGTACTTTACATGTCGTCTATACTTTACATGTTGTCTGTACTTTACATGTCGTCTATATTTTACACGTTATCTATACTTTACACGTCTGTACTTTACACATCGGTCTATACTTTATATGTTGTCTGTACTTTACACATCATCTATACTTTTACATGTTGTCTGTACTTTACATGTTGTCTGTGCTTTATACAGTATATATATAATGTATATTAAATTCATAAAATATGTTACAGTTTAAAGAAAATAAAAAAAAATTCTTAAGTTAAATATGTTGTAAATACAGCTAAAATTGTAGTTCATTTATGTTGTAAAAGGCTTAAAAACTGCTTAAAATACATAAGCATAAGTTAAAAGCAAGTAAAGTATAACATTCTGTTGGTGTATTTTAGTTCTGCTTTATTGTGAAAAGCTAAAGGAAGTGTGAGCAGTCAGGGGTAGAGCTTGATGAGAGTGGCTGGGAAGCCAGGCGCACCAGAGGCAACAGGTGCTGCGGCTTGGAGTAATTAAATACGTTTCCTGATTGTTAACCCAGTGATTGGTAATGGGAACTTGTTTAATGGTTTTTGGGACTACAATGGAGATTTTCAGCTCAAAGTTTGTCCTGCAGTTCTGTGTCTTTGCACTTTGAGGCAGTTTAACATTGCACATTTAGCATTCACTAGCTAAGTGAATGCTGCACAGGAAGTCTAGTTTAGCTTGCTCAGCTTATTATGGAGACTGCCTCTTCATCATTCCAGTCTGGATGTGAAGATTAGTCATAACTGGAGTGTTTATGGACTGCCAGAAGAGTGCCTTTGGATTATATCATTTTTCTTTTCCTACTCCTGGACATTGCCCATTGGAGTTAAACCCTGGACCAGCAGAAGAGTGATTGCATCACCATCTTAGGACATCATTTGGTTTTCCTCTTCACCTGAACTGGGACCAGAGTCTGTATGTACTGAACTACTAAACCAGGTACTGCTTTGTTTTATTTATTTGCTCATACAGGGAAACGACCATTAAGTTTTGGGCCTCACTGCTCCCAAGCTTCACTCAGGTCTGCAACTTTAAGGTTTTAGAGCTGGATAAGCCGGCAGGTGTTTGATCGGTGAGCAGGCCCCTCATTTAGTTTGAAGATTTACAGTGAAAAACCTGATTAGATGCAGTTTTGTGTTTTATTGCGTACATTGTGCAATGACTAAAGTTACATGTTCAGTAAACTGAGTTCACATGTACCTTACGGTTTGGTGATTTTTAGTTTTAAAGAATGTGTGTGTGTGTGTGATGGCCACGGTGTGTATTGAAAGGAAAGTGTGTTAAAGGGTACGTTGGACTTGAAGTTCAGCAACTACTTTTCAGCAACTAAAAAAGTAGTTAACATTTAATCTTAAATGCTCCATATAAGAATCTAGGGAGGCCCTTACCTAGTACAGAGGGTAAAGATGGGCTACACACACACACATATACTACTTACTACTTGTACTACTATTCCTACGTCACGGTTTTTCACTTATGGGGCTTCAGGGTACAGATCCCCCGTGATAAACGAGGGACTACTGTAAATGTTGTCTGTCTAGAACAGGTCTCTCTTGTAAATGAGTCCTCGTGGCTCGATGAGACTACCTGTATAAATAAGGGTTGAATGAATGAAAGTTTGGACCCCGCCACATTTAACATGAAATATTGGTTTTGTTGGGTTATTGGTGATTGATTGTTAAAACTGATGGTCCTCCTTTTACATGTGAAAAGCTAGTTCTGGATGTCCCAGCAAACTGGTTTGTCCACATTGAGAAGGAGCTGTTTATAGCACTGAGTTTTGTGGCAGCCCTCGGACTGATGAAGTATTTCAGATGAAAGACGAAACGTTTCAACCAAGAAGAATCTGTCCAGATGAACTGACTCAACTTTTTTGGATTCATCCAGTGTTGTTTCTGTTGCTTCATGAATGAATCCATTCCACTCGATTAATAAGAGAATACTCAAACTATTAAAAGTCCACTCCGGGTTTTCAGAAAAGAACAGAAATGACTTAAACTCAGAGGAGGCAACGTCAGTCCCACAGTGTCCATCTTTTGCTAAAACCTTGTTTTTTTACTAGCCCTAGGCCGTGTTAATTTACTGTTCAACTTAACAATGACAAATTAGGATGGAGCTACTTTAATTAACAGTAGGCTAGTATAGATTGGTATTCTTGGATGATGATTAATTGTTTGCAATTTCTGATCCCTCCCCAGACACACTGGGCTTTAGAAGATTCTTTACATGGCAGCAACAGTGAAGTAGCAGAGGCTCTCAGAGCTCTGCTGACAGAGGCACGTGCTCTATTCACACAAGGAGAGCTGTTGGTCAGGCTACTTCTTGTTGTGCCGTGCTCTTCAGCTGAGGCGGAAAGAAGTTTTAGTGCTTAAAGAAGGCTTAAGACATGGCTTCTCTCCTCCATGAAACGGCAACGTTTGAACAATGTAGCTGTCTGTCACAAACACCAAGATAGACCTGATCAGGTGGACACGAGGGAGATTTGCCAGACTTTTGTCTGTAAATGACAGAAGGTGGCACATTGTTGGAAACTGTCTGAGCAGGAAGAACTTGATCGGTCTTGTCTTGCTTGTTTGTTTCATTGATGTACTTTCAGAAATGCAGATTCCCTTTTTAATGATTATAGGTAAAGAATGTGGAAACAAATGTTTTCTAGACCTGAAACACACCAAAGACTCGTTCCACAATTTTCCAAGTCAAGTGTAATGCGCCACCAGTCAGCGTTTAAATGCGACCTTCATGGTGTTCTGACCTGTAGGATGCTCTCTATGGCGTGGACCCCTCGCAGCAGGTTCAGCCCTCCACAGAGGACACTGAGCACACAGGACACAAGGCCTGGCAGTGTCGCTGGTTCCAACATCTGCGTAGGAGCTGAAAAAAATGCATTATCAATATTTATAAAAGCTTTAATATACAAGGTTTTTTCTCTTTACGAGACGCAATTTGTCAAATTCAAAACCACTCATAGGCAGAATAAATGCATACACTTAAAAAAACTAAAATAAGCCAGTTCTGAGACATCCTGGCACTGTATAAAAGTAATGTGTCACTTTTATCAGATTAGATAACTTCATCCTTCAGGACAACATGATTTATGTTCTGAAAAAGTAGAAACTGGCAAAGTCCGCAGAGGCGTGCAGAGAGATGCTCTGAACGCTGCTGGGAGGAACACAACAGCTCAAAGTGACCTGAGGGAGGGCAGCTTAGGCGTGACGCTGCATAAAGAAGGAGCGCAGGGAACCTAGAATTAAAAATCAGGTAAATTGTCTAAGAGTTACAAAAGTTGCTGCTGATACATGGAAGAATGTCACGTTAATGTTGGGATAGTAACAAGAGCAACAACACGTTCAATGGTTCCTGAGGATGTGCTACAAGAGATTCACCACTTTTTATTTCAACCAGAAAATTTATTAATTAAAGAAAAATCCCCAGACTGAGTTTTTCTAGTGCAAACAAATGAGAGAAAATCTTCTCCTTTCAGTCGGTCAGGAAGAAACGCATCACATGTGGGATACACCCAGGTGGAGTGGTAGGCAGCTATGTCAGCGCCCAGGTACCACGACATGTGGGCATGGTGGAGAGTTGAACCTGCGACTTTCTGATGCCAAGTTGGCTGCCCTACATCAACACCATCTTGGCTCCTAAAGCGATCGGTTCTGAAGGGTTCTTTGTATATATACAGTACGAGGCGAGGTAACTGCAGAAACGGGGAGGTTGCGACGGCGCCCGAGTCCATCATGATGGGCACTGACTAACATTAGGTAATCGATAGTCTTTGTGGATAAAATGCTTGTTTGAAGTATTAATAACTCCTGCAATTTTTAAAAACTATTCTATAATCATGAACATGAACACTGGTCAACTATACCATTATGACCTAAAACAAAAGATGGCCTTGTTTCCATCAAAATATCTATGACCTGTGGAGGCTCTACTGAACCCATGAGGGTCATCAGGAACCTCCAGGTAGTGAGTCATCATGTTTCAGATCCTTTAAGGGCGTTTTTCTCTGCTACGATACCAGTGCCCAACTTTGAACCAGTTCTTTCTGGTTCAACCTTGAAAACGCCAAGTCCAGTCCAGAAGTGTCAACACGTTTTGGGGAAGAAACTATACTTTTAAGTAATATAAAAAAATTAGAAAGCATAGCTATGTTGTATGGTCTGGAGACAGAGACATGGACAAAAAGACAGGAGACAGAACTGGAAGTGGCAGAAATGAGGATGTTGAGGTTCTTCTTAGGAGAGACAAGGATGGAGAAGATCAGGAATGAGATCATCAGAGGTACAGCACAGGTTGAACACCTGGGAGATAAAGTTAGAGAGGACACACTGAGATGGTTTGGACATGTCCAGAGGAGGGACAGTGGTTTGGACATGTCCAGAGGAGGGACAGTGGTTTGGACATGTCCAGAGGAGGGACAGTGGGTATATTGGTAGAAGGATGTTAGAAATGTAGCTGCAGGAAAAAGACAAAGAGGAGATGCATGGATGCAGTTAGAGAGGACATGGAGGTAGTTGGAGTGAGGACAGAGGACAGAGTGAGGTGGAGGAGGATGACTCACTGTGGAGACCCCTGAAGAGGGATAATCCAAAAGAAGAAGAAGAAACCAGTTTCCCCAAATGACTCAAGTGGCTGGTTTACACATATTTGGTTGTGGTCGTTATGAATTTTGATATTGAAACCCAATTTTTGATAGAGGTCTTTCTTAAACCTAAATGTAGCAACACACCAAAATGGAAATTGGCACGTAGCTTATTTTTCAGTTATCGAGCTCACAAGGTTTTCATGTATACATTTACGGTGGCAGCCATCTTAAATTTTGACGTGGCAACCCAATTTTTGAAAGAAACCTATCTTACGCATGGATATAGCCACACACCAAAATGGAAGTTGATACCCAACTTATTTTTCAAGTTTTAATGCTCACAACCTACAGTCGGGCGAACGGGTGGGCGGATGTAATGTCCAAGTCTCGCTCTTCGCTCCTTGACGGGGGACAAGCTATATATGTAGTGACGGTCATGTTTAAAAGATGTGTTCCATACCGGTGGGTTTCTGATGTCATGTATCTACGCACGGCTAGGGGCCACTGTAAAAACATTATCACGCATGTTGCACCACGTGGTGAAAAGATCAACATCGATAGCCGTCCTCACTCATGAATGCAGGAAGATTTTTTTTGTACAATAGATCTTTATTTTTCATGATCACACTCAAACTCCACAGCATCAAATTCTCAGTTTGACGATACACCTAACCCGAAGTATCTGAACGTACTCGACAAGCAGCAAGAAAAGCACGAAGCAGCAGCTCTTACACACTTACATCCTGCAGGATTAGCATTTTTATTTCCAAACTTTTAAAACGTGCGGAAACTTTTAGATCAAAACCAGATTTTTGAAAACAGCTTGGGTGCAGCAGCAGCTGGAGTCCTACCTATGCCCTTGTATTTAGAGGAAGTGCGCAGTGAGAATCCATTGATAGCCTGCAGGTCCTCTGGGGAAAGCTGATAGGGCGGTCGCAGCTTGATCTCTGTCTGCATGTCGGCCAGGTTGATCTTTGTGGACAGGGAGCGAGGGCTGTTGTAGCGCTGTTTGGTTTTCTGGATAAAAGTGTCTGGGGGACGACAGTCAGCACAAAAACAAGCCGGTTTAATACGGCAGGGAGTGAAACAAGAAAGATAAACAGATTCTTTGCATTAGAGATAAGAACACTCAGGGTTCTGGGAAGATTGGGCAAAAAGTCCTTCAAGCGCTGGTTTAACTCCAGTATAATGTGCTGGTAAGAATGTTAAACAGATTTTATAAATGACGTGACAAATAATTTTTAAAGCTTTTATTCAGTGTTTTTATTCATATTGCATTCTTAAATTACAGGTTTTTTTTATGCACGTGCTCATCCAAAACATATCACTCACGTGAAGAACATGTAAAAACACTCACCTTCACACAAGCCTTTCAAGATCTAATCAATTTGTGCAGATATATCAAAAGTTTTGGCACGCGAGTTCAACCTGAAACGTTTTATTAAGAGATATGCTCCGACATAAACTGAGAACGGTAAAAACTTACCGAATTCAATGAAGGAGTAGGGCCGCACCGCACTGCTGATGCGTTTGGTCTCATAAGTGACAATAAACTCCTTCTGTAGCTCATCCAGGAAGCAGAAAGCCAAAACGTTGGGGTAATTCGCTGTGCACACCATCAGGTAGCCAACACCCAGTGAGTAGGTGAAACTAAAACAAGCACACACAAGAACCGACATTACTACTGTTACTGCAACACGTGGCTCCAACATCCTGATCCATGCTCAATAATCACGTAGAAAATCCAACAAAGTGAAACCAGGTCTTCTGGACGGACTCTCAAAATAAATAAACGTTGAAACATTTAGTCTCTCATCAAAAAGACGTCGTCAGTCTGAAGAGCTGCACTAAACTCAGCCTTATAAATAGTCCCTTCTCATAGTGGATCAAACAGTTTGCTGATGACATCACTCTAATAAACTAGCAAGGATGAAGAGCTCCAAACATGAACCTGACTGCAGTTCAGATTCTGCCCGTTATGGTTCTGATCACAATTTTAAAAACACGTTTTAAAACACGTCAGTGCTTCGACAAACTCTTACACTTTCAGTTACCGTATTTTTCGGCCTATAAGTCATGTTTTTTTGCATAATTTGCATGTCCTGCATTTATATTATGTGTGTGTGTATGCATGCATGTATGTATGTATGTATGTATGTATGTATGTATGTATGTATGTATATATATATACATACATACATATAT